CACAAAGAGAAACAGAAGCAAACAAAATCCAAACACTGGACAGTATTTTTATGAAGATTTTTACCTGCTCTAAATTTATGTTGGAGCCCAGATCATTCATGCTCTATTCTTGAGCATATTGTTCAGTTTTAAATGAGCATACAGCACAGCTGCAGGAGGCTCAGTTATAGCTTTCCCTCCCTGGTGCACCATCCCATCCCCTATCAAGCAGTGGCTTCCCATGCGCTGCTTCACTTTCCCCCTGCCTGCGCCAGCTGATCCCAAAAGGCAGGAGGCTCCACCGCAGCTTCTGTTGGCCAATGCCGACCTAGCCAGGCGTCCCCAGCAGCACGTGGCAAGCCAGCTTCAGCCACATGCTGCCCCGGATGGGATGGGCCCAGCCAGGTTAGCACTGGCTAGGAAAAGCAGCATGAAGCTGAAGCTGGCTTCCCATGTGCTGCTGGGGACGGGAGGAGGCTGGCCAGGTCGGCACTGGCCAGCAGAAGTGGCGATGGAGCCGTGTTCCTCTTGGGACTGACCGGTGCAGGCAGGGGGAAAATGCAGCTGAGCCCCTGCCGCTCTGGCTGGGCTCATCCCGTCCTGAGCGGCGCACGGCTCCACCACCGCTTCTGCTGGCCAGTGCAGACCCAGCCAGGCTCCTACCATCCCCAGCGGCACGTGGGAAGCCGGCTTCAGCCGCACGCTGCTCTGAATGGGACGGACCAAGCCTGGTCAGCACCAGCCAGGAAAAGTGGCATGCAGCTAAAGTGGCCCGTGGGCCATATGTTGGACAAGCCTGCTCTAGTGTATTGAGAGTGCCAAGACAAGACTGTGGTTTCACCACCAAGTTACTAGTATCTAAGTTCAATTATTTTTTCTGTTGTATCACTTTGGTGCATGAAGCACACCTTACTTAGAGTTCCCCCATTCTGGGGGAGAGGGGAACCACCATATCTTATACATCAGAAAATATGGTAGATTTCAAGTTAATTTTGTATCTTAAATTGTCCTCTCTGACAACTGAATGTCTTGAGTTTCAGAATGATTATCGTGAATACTGTAACTCAGGGGTTGGCAACATTTTTGGCTGGAGTGCCAAAAACACCCCAACCTCCACCCACACCTCAGTTTGGCATGCCAGAGGCAGATGCTGAGAGAAGCTGTGAGGGGCTCAGTCCTGGTTGCTGGTGGTGGGTGCATGTGTGTTTCCAGCTGGGTGGCGGGGGAGGCTCCAGACCCCTTCCCCACCATGTGCCCACTTGTAGCCACTGCTGCCGTGGAGCCCATGCCGGGGGTTTGGGTCTCAGTGCAGCTGTTTGCAGCCTGCCTGCTGGCTGCAGCTGCCCAGAGCCTGGGCCAGCTGTGCAGGCAGCCAGGAAGAACTGGCTGATAATCAGCAATATCTTTGACCACATTCCCATGGCCAAATAGCACAATGAGTTTATGTCCAATTACTTATAGACCTTAACATTTTAGATGTGAACAGAAGAAACATTAATACACAGCAATGAAATCCTGAAAGCCCTAATCACCCCCGTCCTAGAAAAAGCCTGTGAAACTGAGTGAACGGTGTAATATCTTGAATAATATCAATTTAGGATTTTTCAAATGGTAGAGTCAAGAGTTCTTCAGAAAGCTGGCCTCAGCCCCATTGTTTTAAATAACACTACCAACTCAGCTGCCAAGGTAGAACAGGTGTGGGAGGGAAGCTCTTGGAAGTGGTGGAAGATCCGCAACTTCTGCTTTTATGCATCAACAACATTGTTCTAAAATTAACAGGCAGTCAGAGCATATCTTGGCACACTAGTGCAAATTGCTGTCCATGACACATTGGTTAATAGGCAGGCAGCTGTCTCTGTACTAGCCAATTTTGTCTGCTTTTTAATCTGCAGCTCCATACAGGGTATTGCAGTAAGCTAATCTTCAGGTGAGAGAATTCTGTATAATGGCAGTCAAGTTTGACCTGGAAGGAGCAGTTACATACCCATTCCAGGCGCAAATAAAAAATAGTTTGGGCAACAGATTTTATCTGAGGATCTAGCAGCAATTATTTCTTTAATCAGACTTTTAGATTATGAACCTCAGTAACCAATGATAGAAGTACTACATTAGTCAAAGCGATTGACATAATCTCTGCTAAGACTTTCAGTCACTTCCTCCAACCTTTGAGCATTAACTCAGTGCTCTCTGCACTGAGCTCTAGCCAGCTTTTCTATTCACAACCCAATCCCTTTCAGTCACTATACTGAGAGATGAAATTGCCAAGGCCAGGTACCTTAATGCATAAATGCTGTATCTTATGCTTTCTCATTAGTAATTTATATCATACATGTGTGATGTTAGGTGCAAAGAAATGCAAGTCAAGATCCTTTGGAGCAGATAAACATTTTCTGTCAGTGCCCTGGGTTCTCCCAACAAATAGTTGAAAGCTGTTCCAAACAAGCTTTGCTAATCTCTGCCGGGGAACAGAAATACATTTATGATCAACAGTGCTGAAGGCATTTTACAAATTTGAAAATGCCATGGGTACTTGATCATTCTCTGTCAGGAGGAGTTTATCAGCCAGTGTCATTAATATAGTTGTTCTACCAAATCCAGGCCTGAATCCAGATTGAATTAGAATCAAGGAGGCAAGCATAGTCTAGATATTGTTATTCATCTATTTTAGGTTCTTAAAAGGGCCTAATTACCATGGAATGTGATTAGCCCTGAGTTATTTTTGTTTGTTGAGTAAATGCTCCTCTACTGTGGAATGCTTCGTTTGTTGTAAGAGTTTGTTGTAAGAAGATTACAAACCTAATGCTGTGTTTCTCCTTAACTTTTTATTGGTCATCTTGTGTCAGCTACAAAGAGGAAGAAGCAGCTCTGTGAAAAAAGAAATAGCTAAGATCCTATTTGCAATCTTTTCTCTGCAGGGCAGTCCCCTTGCACGTGTGTCGAGTCCCATTGACTTTGGTCAGGCTCTGTGTGGGGCAGGCATTCACCGATAAAAGGCAGCTTGCAGGATAGAAGACCAGTACATTACTATGGAATGAGTATCCTTTATTTCTAACTGACAGATGTGGAGTTGCTATGTAATCTAAGAATACTGAGACATAATAATGTTAGGAACATTTTATGTGACCCAGTCAATGAGATAGTTATTGTATATTGGGTTTTAAGATATTAGCATTTGAATGTACTGGAGCTTAATAGGGGCTGTGAAAACAAGAATCAGGAGAACAACACATTAGCTATAGACAAGTAACCTCCCAGTCAATATTTAAACTGGGGAACAATTAAAGGACACTGGCATTAAAGGACTACTGGGCTTAAGCTAAAGCAACACAGCTATTCTGCCCAGTGCTAAGAATTAAAAGATCCAGTAATGCCAGTGCAACACACACACAAAATGAAAGTCAGATTTTCAACATCATGAGATTTCCTGAAAATGATGATCTAAACCAATATATTAGTGAGGTTTTTTATATAATTTTTTAAAAAGATTTAGGGGATGCTGCCTTCTCTGCTTCCCCCTACATTACCCCCCTACCAAGATGGGGGAGCTGTCATCTGATCTTCATCTCTCATCCCATTTCTATCTTCTGTACCCCTCAGACCTCTTCCTGATCACACCCCCATTATGTGGTACCCCTACATTTACCTCCTGTCCCCTTTCATTTGTCACATGCACCTTTCTGTTGTGTCTTGCAGGCGCTTGTACATGTGATGTCATTACCATGCACATGTGCCAAAAAAGTCACTGTGTGTGGCTTAATGGTGTCACACTACACATGCAAGGGTTTGGGGGATTTTAAATGAGTTTGCATTGTTGCAAACTAAACTACATCCTGATGCAACAATATGTTGCAGCTATTGGTCAGCTCACCCCCAGCTGTGGGAGAGGTGGGAAGGCTCCTCAGAAAAAAAAGATTGGGCCCCTCACTGCTTCTGCCTTCAGCAGGCTTCTGCTGATGGCAGAAGCAGCAAGGGACCCAGTCCTATTTTTTTTATTATTTTGGCAGAGCCTGCCTGCTTCTCCCATGGCTGAGTGGCCCCTGAGCTGCACCCTGGTCCTTCCCTCCATGGTGATATCAACCCCCACAGCCGCCCAGGAAGGCTGCTAGCCGGCCAGGTGCTGCCCCAGCTCTGGATCAGTGAAGGGTTGGATCAGGCCAGGTGCTGCTTCCAAGCTGGGAAGCACCTGGCCTGCTAGCAGTCCACTTAAGTGGCCCTGGGGGGGCACCGCCACTGTGGAGGGAAGGACTAGGGCCCCCCACAGCTCCAGGACCATTCGGCCCACTGACAGCTTGCCTCCCGACTGCAGGTAGGCTCCACCAAAAAAAAAAAGGATCCGGCCCCTTGCAATAACAGTGACAGAAAAATAAAACCCCACGGTTTCAATTAAACACCCACCATTTAAATTTAGGGGCCTTAGAATACAACCCTAAGGACTAAACCCCTGTCACATGTACAAGCAGCCCCAATGCTCTCTCTAGCCTTTTAACAAGTGGCAGCCATTTTATTTGGGGGCTTGGTTTTAATCTCACAAAAGAGTGGCAGGAGGCTGCCACCTTTACCACAGGCAGCCTTACTGCCATATGCAGAGACTGTAGGGAAATGGCAGCCATCTTGCTGGCTTCAGTCTCCTGGATAGTAATAGGAAATGGCAGTCTCTTTGAATAAGGAAGTATTCAAGTGACCAGGGGAGCAGCAATCAGGGAGAAACAAATGGGACAGTTTGCAAACAGTTCACTAGGAGCAAGAGGAAGAAGGGGAAGAGGAACCAGGCACCAAGCACCAGATTCTGCTCTGGGAAGGTAAGCGAGCCAGGGTTGCCTGCTTAGCTTGCTAAGAGTCGTTTGGTGGGTTGTGTGCTCGGGTGTGTGTTATGAGCACCCGAGTGGGCTGATTGCTAATTGATTGCTGCCTGGGTGTAACAAAGGAGCCTAGCTAGTCAAGGCCCAGGAGAGATATATAAAGAAATACTCTAAACACCCAAGGAGAAGCAAATAGGACAGTTTGCAGGTCACTTTGCTAATCCCATCTTTTAAAGGGAATCTGTAAGGTCAGATTCTTTTTGTTAATATGTAATTAAACCTGACTAACCTACATATTTTATTTTAAGCAGCTAAAAAAATCAGTAGTTAGATCCATACTTAAGCCCTTTGTTTAACTAGAGTCCAGAGTGAGGTGGGGGGGTTTTCTTGGAAAAATCTCTCTCACAATCCTTCATTGTAAGCTTGCTAAGAGGATAGAGGTTTGCAGGGAAAGGGGAACACTTCAGGATCAAGGAACAGCAAACAGGTCAGCTACAGAGCAATTTGCTAGGGAAGTTTTGATTGGAAAGAAAGGCAGGAAGTGAGAGGCAGCAGATTAGAAGACCCAGAGGAATGGCTGGAGAATGCTGGAATCCCAGAGCCACTGCCACTTCCAGCTCTTCCTCTTCTTGTGCCCATGAGGTGTCTGTCTAGGCAGGACTGCACAGCATCCAGGCTTCCACACAGCTGCTGGTTTGGTGCTGTGCAGACTGCAGCTTGCCAATTCTTTCCAGTGTCAGCTGGGTGGGGGAGTGCCTGCGGCATGAGCGGTGCCTTCTGGTACTGCCCCTCAGGGAGTAGTCAAGACAGCTATGGGAGGGGGTAGCAACGCTCTGAAGCATCCTCCTCCGTGGGGACTTCATCATAGTTTCATAGTTAGTAGGGTCGGAAGGGACTTGAGCTGATCATCAAGTCTGACCCCCTGCCATGGCAGGAAAGAGTGCTGGGGTCAAATGACCCCAGCAAGGTGATTGTCAAGCCTTGTCTTAAAGACCCCTAGGGTAGGAGCCAGCACCAGTTCCAGGCTGGAGGAAACCTCTAGGACTGTGGAGGAAGGACTGCTTTAGGCGGTTCTAGAAAGGGAAGAGGTTATGGACCCCTAGGAAGGTGGAAGATGAGAAACTTGTGACCTCTGGCAGCAAGAAGTTGTTATCCCCACCTGTAGTGGTTTGCTTGGAGAACAGATTCGGAGCGCTAGCTACAGAGGAGGAGGAGCACATTCTATTGGTGGAAGAGGCCAGACCAGGAATCCTCAAGGTGGGGAGGATTGAGACCACTGCCACAAAGAAGAAGCGATGAGCAGAGGTGGTTGGAGATGCCCTTGTACAGGAGATGGAGGGATCCATCTACCAGATTGATCTGTTGTCAGGGGAGGTCTGCTGCTTGCCTGGAGCCCAGATCCGAAATGTCAGAGAAAGTTTACTGAGACTTGTCTAACCCTCTGACCACAACCCCATGCTGCTCATCCACGTGGGCACCAATGATATTGTGGGGTGACCCGGAGCAGAACAAGAGTGACTGCAGGGCTCTGGGTGCAAGAGTGAAGGGGATTGGAGCACAGGGGTTGTTCTTGATCCTTCCAGTTGAGGGGAAGGGCCTAGGCAGGAGTGGATACATCCCATAGATTAATGCATGGCTGCGCAGGTGTGCACGGAGGGAGTACAAGGAGGAGTGGGCATTAGGGGAGGCCTTCTTATTCATCCTGAGAAATCAGGGCAATAAGCTAGTTACCTCAGATGCCAGTACACCGGGGTGGGCAATTATTTCAGTTGGAGGGACACTTAACAAGTTTTGGTGAGCCATCAAGGGCTGCAAGGGTAACCCTGCCCCTTGACAGGTGCCCTGCCCCCTGGTCACCTTGGATGTCTTGCCCTCTAACCTCTGACCTTTGCCACTGGAAGTCCCTCCCCTTGCCCTGGAAGTATTCCTTCTGGCAAGAGATTTGCCATCTTGGAACTGGAAAAAAAACACCAAATTATATTCTAAAAAGCAAACGTCTACTACAACACACATTCATTTGATTTCAAAAAATATTTGTCCTGATTTTATGTGTTTGCATAGTGTACATAGAGTTCATTGCATAATAGCTTAAAGTAAGTCTTACCTTTGTATACTGTCGGGGGTATGGGTGGATGCATGCAGGGTTTGTAGGGGGCTGTGAGTGTGTGTGGGAGGGTGTAGATGTATGTGTGGTGTTTGTAGCAGGTGGAGAAGTGTGGGTGGGTGTGGGGTTTGTGGGGATGTGTGGCTGGGCATGGGAC